TTTTTCAACAGAAGAGTTAATGGCTGAATTCTGATATAATGTGGCAAAAGCTGGGCTGGAATTTAAGAGGTCATTAAAGAATAAAGTCTTTCTACACTGATAGTATTTTTTTGCAGAAAGATTTCTTCTTAGGTTTACACAGCAGATAAAACTTGACAAGCTTTTTTATTTTTTACCAAAGCATGAGTAGCCAGTTCAGCTGTGTGAATAAATAATAGTTTAGAGAATCAAATAAACATGAAAATGTCATGGAAAATCAAGGCTGCTAAGTCTGAAACTGAATTAGCTTCTGGTTTAGCAATTCCGCCCCCCACAATTCAGAAGTTATATTGTGTATGTTTATGGAGATAAATTTGAATTTATAATTAGATGCTTTGTCTCTTCATTTGCACATAGAAGGGTTTTGCTACTGGATACTGAAAAAACCATTCATACATGAATTTTAAGAAACAAAATTGAAATGAGCTCACAGAGGCTGTAGAATATCCATCCTTGGAGATACTAAAACCTTGACTAGACATGGCCTTCACCAGCCTGTTCTGAGTAGTCCTGCTACTAGCAGGAGCCTGGAGCAGAGACCTTGGGGAGTGTCTACCAACCTATGTGATTCTGTGACTCTAAAGTTATGGCATTAAACAATAAAAATCTGTGCAGTGATGGAGAAGGGCAAGATGACACAGTAAGCTGGTGTCTGAAACGCAACTTTCATATTCTTCCTGTGAGCACAAAACATTATTCTGGCATTGCTTAACATCAGTTTGTAAAAAGATCAGGAGCTCTTGACACCAGGATTTTTTTTACAGTGCTGGATCAACTTTGTACCTCTCAGGACAGTCAGAATATTATTATCCTTGGGAAAACTAGGGGAGCAGGTCAACTGAATCAAATTAAATGCCAGACAGTGTTAGCGGCAGATACTCTGACCCTGAGCTTGTGTAATCCTCCTTGACATCCACCTCCAGGCCTGCCCACCACCCATTGAATTAACCATAAATCCCTGCAGGCTCCAGAGCAGCAACCTCCCTGCAAGCTCCTTGCTAGTTGATCAATTTGTGGGACGTGGCAAGGACAGCCTCTGGAGGCCAGGACAAGGTTCCTGACACTCAGCTGAGATTCATCCTGCCTAAACTGAGAAATTTACAGTGTTGACACCTACATCTGAGGAAGTTGCTCCAAACCCCTTTCCCAGTTAATGGGAAATGCAAACTTTCATGGCCCAACTGAAAGAGAGTTAAGACAAACTGGCTCAGACAACCTGGAGTCAGGTGAAAGCTACCTCAGCCCAAATCCATCTGTTACAAAATACTACAGCTATCTGCTTTAAAACAGGAAAGTATCCTAAGTGAGTGAAGTGAAAAGAAAGTGAAGAATTAATTAACTAAATAGATGTGATTAAAGTAAATAAAGGAAACAATTATCACATAAAAATAAAAGACAAGAAAGACGATTAAATGAGTCTTCAAAAGACCCATGAGAAACTCATGAAAGACATAATATGCATTTACCTGGTCTTTATTCTTTCATGATTTCATTTTCACTTTTGTTCACTACCATCTGATAATAGCAAAAAACAGTTACTTTAACCGTGGGCAATTTAAACCATTTTAATTTTTTTTCCAGGGCCAAGAGACAAAAGAACCTATTTATTGCCTGAGGGGATTTTTACTAAAATGAAAGTTTAATCTGTCATGTTTTTTTAAGCAAAGGCTTTTAAAAAATCATTTCTAACAATGCTGTAGGGAGAGACTTCCATGGGTATGCAAAATTGAAATTATAAATTTACAATTATAAAAAAATTAATAGTTTGGGGGATTGTATTGTCTCTGTTCTTTCTGAATGAACACTGTTTCAAGCTTAAGGGAAAGTATTTAGCACATGGAGGGAAATGAGTGTCCTTAGACTCTCTCGCGGTCAAAGCTGTTCAGTAAGAACCTATGAGAGAAAGATCATTGGAGTTTATTTTATTTGGAAATATGGGATCCTAGGAAGCTTGAAGAAGGAGTTTCATGCAGATCGAAAAGTCACTATTAGATGTTATTTTTTTGTTTCTCTTCTTGTTGAATGTATTGGAATTAGAAGCCAGCAGCAAATATGCCCTGCTTGGTTCCTCACTTCCAGGTCTGTTACTCTGTGTTGCCAACACATCAAAGTCAGGCTGAGTACCATCCCCTCCATAACAGTTTGATGCACTGGAGATTGCTAAACCTTATCTATGTAAAACTAAGATGTAACATGAATTTTAACCAAAGTAACCACCTTTTGGGGCTCTAATGACATGTGTCTACAAAGGACAGAGCTCTTGGTTAAAGATTGATTCAGGAGAGATACAGTTTTAGATGGGTAGAAACATGGATATAATTTATGAGGCTGCCATGGTTTAAGGCATATTAGAAGTACCTGCTCATGCTCATCCCTGTTCCATACAGTATTTTGACTTTAATAGCATCAAGACAATGATTACATTTAAGCCTGTACCTTTGCACTCTTCTGAATTTGGGCAGTTTTCTGAACTGAGAAATATTAATTTAATGCATTATCTGAAGAGACACAAACACTTTTTCCTGGGCTTAGTGCAGGCTTTGAAATCAGACAAAATAATTTACACTTACGACACACAACAAACTGAAGTGTTCTATTAAAAGAAAACTAGGCCAAAAAAATACCCTAAAGGCCTCCAAATATGCACACATTGAAAGGCAGATTTAAATGTTTTCTGCCAACATATTCCAAGTTTTAATGGAAATACTTTGAGCTACTATGAAAAGCTTTATCAAACTAAGTTTATTCTCCATAGAGCAGAGAAGAACCACTGAAGATATTATTCAGGTTTACAAAATATTTAATAGGGTGGAGAATGTGGAACCAGATAAGAAATGTTAAACTGGAGGACATTTTAACAATGATTTTAGGTTGGTTGTGCACAATGAAGAGGTCAATGGACCTATTAGATAAAGACTTTGACATACCAAGCTCTCTAATATTAGGAACACTTGTGTACTCTTACCCTCTGTAAGAGTTTCAAAATCAATTGTTACTCTGAGCTTCCTATTTCAAAGGCTAAATCTCCAGATTTTTTTGAAAATAACACGTGTTAGGCAAAATCATTAATCTCTGGCAAAAACTTGGATCTTCTCTATGAAACCATCTGGGCAATACTAAGCTCTAGTTATCCCAAAGATCTGCCCAGCCCAAGTGAAGCACCTTTCTAACCACTTGCCTCTGCAGACTTGCACATCAGATGAAACCCCCTTCCAGGTACTCAAGGAGTCTCAAGACCACAAGTCAGCCAGACTGGATAAGAAGATTACATTTCGTAGGGAAAAAGAGAAATGTGGACCTTAAGGATGAATCTGAGTCCTGTGCTAACATGGCAGGACAAAGAGAATGATAGAAACATGCTGCTGCCTGAGGTTCTGGTGCCACATTGCTGTAGATCAGCAATGACAAGGGAAGCTTATTTCCAATCCCTCTGCACCAAAGTGCAGCATGTTGAGCTGTCCTGAGAAGTCAGTATGGCTCAGGAAATGCTGAGCATGCTTTGGGAGGAGAGGCTACTCAGACATTTACGAGCTAAACTGCAGAGATACCACAGAGCGTGCATGAAATGCAACATTTCTGCTTCTATAAATGGGTGACATTTAGACAGGAGTACCACAGAAGCTCCACCACTGAGACCAGCCTTTTGCAAAGCATTAAGCCCTAGCTCCAGGATGGAGAGAAGAGATTGCTCAGGTTAAAAAAAAATCAGCAAACAAAAATTATTCCAACCCAACCTGCTTCTCAGAGATGTTGCCAATGAGTATAATTTTCAGGTTGAGATGAGGCCCACACCAGAAACAGGGAAATGCTGAATAAACTTTGCATTTAGCCAAGCTGCCTTCCATTTGACCTCTCTCCCAAACAAACAATAAAAGCATAACATAAGAGGAAGTGTTGGCCAGCTTTAACACCCACCACCACACTTGGTCCCAGTTCTATTGTGTAGTGAAGACTGTTTTCCTCACTGATGAGCTTCAACCGTCTGCCATGAATTACTTTTTCATGGGGAATAAATACACACTTAAACAAGATTAAACACAAATGTTCTTCAGTGGTGTCTAAAATAATACAAATGCTTTTTAGAACAGCAATAAACACACTTCATGATGCAAATAATTATACCCTGCAGCCTTTATGTAAAGATAAGTGGCCAGATTCTTGACTCAGCTACATCACTGTAAATCCAGAGTAACTACACTGAATTAACATCTCTCTCTGTGGATTCTGGAGATGCTGGAGTGTTACTGAACTCTGCATTTACCCTGATTTCTCTCTAAGGTTTTGCAGACATCTGACATGCATGAGTGAAAGTCTATGTGGTGGTGATGGAGGCACCACCAACTGCTATCCTGTCCCTTACTCCCCCATAATCAGTCTGCTACTTAGTATAATGAAATAAGAATCTGTATTACTTGTGCATCTGATATCACTTCCATAACTGTATTATCAGTTAGGACCAGAAGAAGGCTTAACTGAGTCTACAGTGAGGAAAAGAAAAGGGGAAAAGAAAGAAGAACTTAACAAAAACTCATGATGGGTGGAAGCAATACATGCATTATGTGCTGGGAGTCAAAGATATGGCACTTGAGGATTAAAAAGAACCACCTCAGCAGATCTTTCTTTAGGGTTGGCTCACATCCTGAACTCTTTCTGGAAAGTGTAATCTAGCTGATTTTTCCCACACAATTGAAATTTTCATGTAGAGTTTTGTAATACGGATCCGATAGGCTTTAATTGCCCCTGAAATGAATATGGAAAGGTGAACATGCCCACACTGGACAATTTAAAAAACATCAGCTATTTACTTAAAAATAACAGCAACAAAAACTCATTCAGCTATTAAAATCTAGAAGTGATAAAGCACCAAACTACTCAGCCACAACATCCAATTGATTGTTTTAACTATCATCTTCCCATGTAATGTCATTTTTGTATTTTGAAAGCAAGTGCTCTGCTCTTACCAGGACTTGTGAGGGCTCCCAGAGCACCAGTCGTTGTGGACAGAGGGTTTGCATTGGTGGTGGTAGCTGAGGTTTGGGCGGCGGCTGCTGCAGCTGCTAAAGTTGCCAAATTCTGTAACTGTAAAGCGTTCATGCCTGCATGGAGAAACAACAGGGTCAATTGAAAGGTTAATTAAACAACAGGTTAATTAAAATTTTGAAAAGAAAAACGAAAAAAAGTTATTTTCAACAGACACGGAGCTTTGGATGTACTTGCCGAGGGATTAAATTCTCCTCTTCGTTCCCCAGACATCTACAAACTGGGTATCACCTCTTATAGCTCCTGAATTGCATCTCTCACTTCTCCACCTTGGAGCTGAGAGAATACATCTAAGGCACCAGCCTATAGTTCAGGAAAATTAAACCTTGTTTGTGCCTCTTCTGTAAGGGCAGCATAGAATTAAAAGTAATTTAAACTCTGTGTGAGGCCCAGGCACAATACTGTTTCCTGACACAACAGGCGGGGTAAAGAATACAATTAATGTTTAAAACGCATCCAGACAGGGCCATAAAATTGGAACAAATACAATTTGTTTCCTGTCTCTCCTTTGAATGTATGATGCAAGAGAGACTGCTTAGATGGCAGTGAGCAATCACTCTCTTTGGTTTGGACATGTGAGGGAGATCTGTGCATATTTCTTGAGCCCTCAAGAGAATTGACAAAGTGCATAAAACCAAAAGACTAAAAGAGTTTTATTACCTTCTTGAAGTCCTGATAATGTAAGTACACACAAAAGGTTAGGAGGTAGGAAGATCAATATCTTTTTTAGACCAAGTGATAGAGATGGGAAGACTTGCACTGAATTTTGGGGAACACTCAAGAAGAGCTTGAGTACCTGGAAACTTTTAATGATTGTTAGTTTGTCTAAAAAGAGATATTACTTCTCCCTGTACACTTCATTTCTCAGACCAAAACAACTTAATAACAGGTTGGAGAAGATGGAAAAAAAAAAAAAAGTTTAAAAATAATACTTTGTAAGTATGTTTGAGAAGAAAAAAAATGCAATGGAGAGATAACTTTCAAACACGTGTTGCAGCCTCAGGTTGGTACAATCACTGAGCCCGATAGAGAGATATTCTTACTGTCCCAGCTTTAGGTACTGTGAGGTGAGCCTTGGTCCAAGCATCTACTTGTGAATAAACTCCACATTTAAATACAGCATGTTTCAACAGGCAGCTCAGGTCTCAGGTGAGCATACAGCTTGGCTGAGGCTCTAATGCCTGTGCCTCAGTCAAACAGCCAGAGTCAGCTCAGGTGGTGATGCTTTTGAAAATGTGACACAATCACAACATTAGGAGTAGGGTTTTAGTTGACTCAAGATATGCCATTTTGCAGTCTGGAATCTGCACAATACACTTGAAGAAATAACGTGTCAAAAATAGCTCTTTCAGGGCTTCTTTTTAGACCCTAATGACCACCTTAAAAAAATAAGGCTTTTCTCAAACCCTGCCATCCCTAACTATTTTGCAAGGAGCAACAAAGCTATTTTAGTCACAAGTTATTATTAACCTAGACAATCAGGTGTAACTACGAAATAACATAATCATGGGTCATTGTTACAATTTGGTCAGTCTTCTATACCAGTTCTCACAAAGTTTAAGTGCTTAAAATACAAAGATGATGCTGAAATGGCAAAACTGCACCTTAATTACAGGGACATTTTATAAATACTAAAGAATTAGATTTTGGGTAACCCAAATGAATAGAATAAAACTGCTTAAAACTTCTCAGATCTTGAACAAAGTAATCTGCTAAATCTGGAAAAGCTGACTGAATATTTCAAAAAACTTACATTTTTACTATCAGTCTAAAACAAAGGTTTGGAAGCAGGATCATATTAACAAATACATTCCTGAAACCAGAGATAGTAAGGAAACTCATAACTGTTTTCAAATCCTATCTGTTGTTTAACTTGAGAAGCTTTCAGTCAAAATGTACAAATTAGATAGAAATTCATACAGGATAATTTGTAGAGATAATTTAATTTAATTTTTTTTTAATTATTCAGTTGACCTACTTGCTTGCTTCAGGTGCAAATTATTATTATTTTAATTTTGTCATTAAAAAATCCTCTTTCTTTGACAGTAAGACTCTGCAGATTATTTCGAACGGGATTTCAGGTATGGAGAAGACTTAGTTGGGGTCCAGCTGTCTGCAAACAAAGCAGGCAGTGGTTCTCAAAATGAGATCTAGAATTCATTTTCATTCTGGACTGATGTTTTTAGTCCTCGAATTTAATTTTACTTCCCCTTTCATAAGATGTATAAGTAATTCAGCAAAGAATATCCAGTAAACACTGCTGGTCTTACATTGAGGCCGTATTTCATGCCATTCTGAAACAGATTTGGGAAAGCAGTGGGTTGCTCTCCACCATGGCAGCATGGATTTCTGTCACCCACTGGTTAGTTATTCTTCAGAAGGATCAGTTATAATCAGCTTATATTTCTTCTGTGGGGAGGTTTCCACTTTGGACTTTTAATCAGAACACATGATAGGATTAAAAAACTAGTGAACAAATGCAGAATGGTACTAGAGGAGAGACTGCAAAACAGCTTCACCTAAGTGAAATCCCATATGCTTCCAGAAAGCATGGTCATTTTTACAAACTTCAGTTTAGAAGGAAATGGGTTTTGAAGCAACTTAATGCTGCTTTTTCTATCACGCTTTACATGCATGGCCTTGCCCACACATGCAAGGCTGCAGAAGGCTCTGGAGCAGGGAGGGCTGGAAGCTGGAGGGCAGCATGCATGCACTGCACAGCGCTCAAGGAAAAGTGCAGCAGGTGAGACAAGGTCAACGGGCAGAGGGACAAATAACTGCTCTCCCTGGGCTCGTGACCTACTCTCATGCCTATGTGGATGCAAAACAAACACCAGCATTGCCTCCTCCCACAAAAACATTTTTCATGGCACGTTTCTTGTGGAAGCACAAGAGGAACCCATCAACTTGACGAAAAAATTTCAATGCCAAATAAAGATTAAGGAACAAGAGCCAGGCAGTGATGAAGTCATCTCCCCACCCAAGTCTGTTTTACTGTAGAGGTGACTAAAAGACACTGGCCACAAACCAGCTCTGCAGATGTTATAGGGTGTCAGCTTCAGTGCCTTCAGAAAAAGATTGCTCACTGCTGTCACACATGTGTAAGAGCAGGACAGCAAAAAGCCCCATTGAAGTGAGCACCCGAATGTGACTGTCAGGAAGGGCTGGTGGCACACACTGCCATCCAGCACTGTCTAGAGCTGGTTGTGTCAACAGGTTTATCACTTAATATGCATTCTCTTTGGGATCCTCTGTCTGCTCAAACATAAAAAAATAAGTCCTGTCATCACAGTTTCACATTCCCCAGGCATTTTACCATCTCTGCTCCCTCTTTATTGGTTTCTCCCATCAACTTGTCAAATGCGTCAACATCCCACTCGCCAGGACAAACTTGGAGGAGGGAAACCAAACGCTCTCAAGTCCCAGACCCAGAAAGCACTTTGCTTTCAAATGGGGATTTTTGGTTCAATTGAACTTCAGCCAAGGTGTAGTTTTGTGGGACTAATCTGCTCTCTCATTCTCTCCCCTTTCACACATTGCCTTCACACATTTCACATCCTACAGCTTTTTCAAAACGGTCCCAAATCCCGCAACAGAGCTGGACCACAAACGAGGAGATTGTTTTTATTTGAAAGTGCTGCTCACTCAGCAAATGCGCCTCTCTCTGAAGAAATGCAAATTGCTTAACGCTGAAGAACAGCCTCTTAGGCAGAGCTGCACATAAAAAATGAAAATCCCCTTGTAAGGGGAAAAAAACAACTTCTGGGTAAGGAATAACTCTTGATCTTCCTGATGGAGACAATGTTGGGAATTAAAGGGAAATGATTAAAAAAAAACAGAATCACAATACAGTTTGATTCCCTTTTTAATAACATGTATTTACCAGCGCGCTATCAGCTTGGCAAATATTCAAGATTGCCAGGAAATTCAACTTTCATTTTGTTATTTGGCAGATTAAAAAAACAATTAAATTATGTACAAAACAGATGCACAGTGTGCCTTACTTGAAACCTAAGATTTAAAAAAAAAAAATTATTTATAAGGATAAGGGCATGAAAATTTAATTTAATGTTCACCTTAGGTAATTTTGTGTCTTATTGTTCACAGCAATTACCATAAATCTACATATCAATAAGCGAGAACAGATGTCAGTTGTTACAAGTGCTTGCCAATCAGGCCTGTTAAAAAGTGACAGATGGATGGTGATAGAACATTCTCATAAGGCCTATTAGCACATTCGCAGGAAATTTCTGTAGTGCTGCACAGTCACAGATGCAGTTCTGTGAAAACATGGGAAAATTTGAGAGCACGAGATTTCCATTTTACAACTTCTTGTGCTGCCTCCGACACAAACTTTCATACAATGAAACAATTTGCCTCATTTCAGTCACCACAGCTTCTCTCCTATGATAACTGTAAATTTGGAATTACTGGGCATTTGTAGAGGAGGCAACAGAGCCACAAGCTGTTTCTGAAGACATCTTAGGCCTCAACAGCTCTTGGGTTTCCAAAATCATAATAAAATCATATTAGGAAACAATTGAGATTTGCTTGCTGAACAAACTCCTAAAAAAGGATGGCAGTGGCTGCATTTTACTGATAATATATGCATGGAGAATATCAATGTCAATGGTGATTGCCAGTTCCCACTAACTTGACTTACTTTCCCTTGGAAATTTTAACCTTCCCAATTATTAGGATTTATTCCTTCTGAAATAAATCCTGACTGCACCTTGAAAACTGTGGATTTATCATCTCCAGGCCAGAAAGCAACTGTTTGCTAACACTGATGTCAGCCCTTCCAGCTGTTAAAAAGGGGGTAAAAACTTCACAGCCTGTGTCTGAAAGAG